TATATTAATTTTCTTTTTGTAAGAATTTTTATTTGCTTTATAATTTTATTTTTATATTGTTTCATAGAAACAACTATTTTTATATTAGCTATTTCTATGAAACAGTACTAAAATGAAGATAATTGTTATGCTAAATTATGTTCAAATAATTTAATATAATTTATAAGTTAACTTAATAAAACATTTATTTCCTACAGGTTGCAAAACATCTAACCAAACTCTTTGATTCATTATCCAAATTGAAATTTTCATCAGATAATGAGAATACAGATAAAATGCAGAAATCAGCAGTAGGAATGTACAGCAAAGATGGAGAATATGTGCCATTTTCTGACTCTTGTGATTGTGATGGAGTTGTTGAAGTATGGCTAAATCATTTATTAGATCATATGAGAGCTACTGTTCGTTTTTACTTAACAGAAGCAGTTTCAACGTATGAAGATAGACCAAGAGAAAGTTGGATATTTAATTATCCTGCTCAAGTGGCTCTTACTGCAAATCAGATTTGGTGGGCAACAGAAGTAAATTTAGCTTTTGCCAAATTAGAAGAAGGTTATGAAAATGCATTAAAAGAATATAATAAAAAACAAGTATGTTATTAAGAAATGATGAATTTTTTAAAAATAAATTTATTACATTATACAGAATATGCTATGATGAGAAACATTTTCATAGATCTTGTTATCAATAGTTTTCATATGATTCATGATTCTTACTTTACATTATGCAGATTTTGTAATTAGGTCAATTTTGTGCTATTTACCAGTTATTATAATAAAGTTGATAATAAATACACTATTGAAATTGCAAATTAGTTTGATACTTTATATTCAATAATACTGACTCAATATATTAGTTTCAAATGAATTTTGTCATTTTTCTTCTGTTGACAAAATAATTTAAACAATCAAAGAACAATACATTTATCATAAAACCTAATTGTTTTTTTCTTATATATTATTGATATTGTCATACATATTTGTGATTTGTTAGAGAACTTTGTCTCCTCTAAAGGAATTTTAATTAGATGATGATAAATTGTATCGTTTTTAAATTATTTATTTCCATTTCAGTTATTGCTTGACTTTGCTGATTTTGCTTATAACAGTTACATGTTGAAAACAACACAACTATTACATTAAAATTAAGAATTTCAATAAATACCATTCTGCTTCACTGCTATAGGCATCAGTGTTGTTGAGGTTGGCAACATAGACTGTTACTCTTGTCTTTATCTTATAAGAATGTCTAAAGCTGATTTTGTTTGTTCTATGTCATCTCATTTGCTCTATCCATTTGATAAACATTACAATTGCCAAAGTTGACATTGTCATTGCATGGATGCATTTCTTTACATTTGATTATTTTGATTATAGGAAATTAAAAAATTATTTTCTCTCAATATTAATTACATTGTATATTTTATAACTGTCAAAATTGTCATAACTGCAAAACGAAATTGAGTAAAATGAGCAAATAGTTTTGTAATTTCAATTTTTAAAATAGAATATTTTTCTAATTTTTACTTGATTGGAGATAACATACAGAAATTAAGTTTTTATGTTTTTTATATTTTCTGTGTATGTTTCAGAACTATTTATTATAGCCTGCAGCTTAAAATCTACAAACTGATAAATTGATAAATGTACAATAAAATATTAAAATGAATTATTCAATTTTCACATTCAGAATTATTACTAAACTATGAAACATACTTTCAAATGCATTCTGCAAAATGACAGTTTTATGTGATTAATTTTGCTGCACTCTTTCAGTTAAATTCTTATGTGATAAGTCTTAAATTTATCAAACTGGTGATTTAAGAAATACAATGATTGATAGGAAAAGACACTTCAAATACATACTTTTAAATATTTTTACTTTTACTATGAGACAATTATAAGATTATCAGCACAAAACCTTTCTCACTAATTTCTAGCCTTATTAACTGGAGTACAAAGTACTCCAGTTNTCCTTATCCTTTGATCATTTTTCTGCATTATCTTCATATCCATGCTCTACCTTTTGCAAAAAATGTGTTATTTTAGATTGCTTGCTTTTAGTTAAAAGATCATTATAAATTTCCTTGTATGGTGCTAAGCACTTATGAAGAATAAAGCAAGTATGGAATAAGGGAAAAGTCTGGCAACACAAAAGCAGAAGCGTCGAGATCTGGCAACACTGAAACAAATTTCGAAAAGGACCACGTGTATGGACAGAAGGTGGGAAAAGAAAATTTACATACTTAAGTACTAATAGTTTACGAAAATTATGCAGGAAAATCTGATAGTACATATGCGCTCGAATGAAAAATGTCAAATGAGGTATCATTCACACTTAAAAGCTTTATCATATTTATCAAACTGTTGTACAGGGATTTCCTTAATTTCAAATTAGATAAAGTTAGCTTTTAATAGTTTTTATTACTGTACACTTCATATTTACAATTCTCAAACCGTGCTAGAGTGAATCCGTGCTATAGAAGTGCTGTGTTATACGGGAATTACCTGTACTTGTAATAAGAAATCTAGCTGAAAAGAAGTTAACATTCTTGCTCCTAAATTTCTGAATGCCCTCTAATGGAATGTTCTGTTTAAAAACAAGTAAGTTCAGTACTGCCTTACAGTAAAGCCATGTGACCTCCAAAATCTCATCACTAATCACTTCTTGCCTTGTCCCTTAGAAATGAAGATGTACAGTACTGTACATGTGATCTACACTGTTTGTTCATATATTATATTTTATGATATATTTTTAATATGTGATTGTTTCTCATATTATTGTCTCTGTCACCATGTGTCCTGCGAAATTAGAAATTATATACTGTAAGATTAAAGATGGATTCTTATAATTACCCTTAGAATAGTGGTCCCTGTTCAGACTGCTGCTCTTGTGTATATATATATATGACTGCTGCAATGGACCCAGTCTATGACAGCAGAAACAGTTTCAAAACATCACTGATCTTCTGGCACATCATACCATAGGAACAATATAATCATGACTAAACTGTTCTCCAGGCAAGCACAAAACCTAATTTTTCCCATCCAACTGGTAAAGTGTATAGTGTGGTGAGCACGTGGTGATGGATGAATTCTCACAAAGAGACAGGAATATAAAACAATAAGACGTGCTTTATTTTACTGTATGAACATATATACAGGAAAGGTTCGTTGATTCCGACCTCCTTGTTCCTCACTTTAATTAAACAAAAGGGAACAAACAACACCGACTTTTAATCTACGGCGGAGCTAAACTCTTCTTTCGCGTAACAAAGGAGACACTTAATCACTAACTTAAAACTACTTATAACTAAAAGAGGAAAGGAAGGACAGGAATTAGAATAGAATGGGAGAATAAAATGGAAATTCCTAGTAAGGAACGGGTACCCGAATGGTTGACTGAGGTGGTGGCCACAAGATGATTTCGTCTTGGAATTCTTTTCTTCTATGGGGACGGAGCACATGCGAGGACCCAAAATTCGTTCTTAAATCTCGGCTTTTCCAAAGTTCTTTTTCTCTTCCAATGC